CCGTCGATCAACGCTCGACGCAGCAAATCGAGGATATGCCAGCGCTGCTCTCCTCCTTGCTCGGAGACGCGAAGAGTGAGGACAGGAGTGAGGGCCGTGACGTCGAATTCTACGAGGGGGAGGGGTTTGAAGACGAGGACGCGACCTCGAGGTTAGAGAACGTCGCGTCCTTGATGAGTCAGATGGAGCTCGAGATCGACGCCGACACGAGCGAGCGTCAACACCCGACGACGCAGGTCGATTGGAACGAGCTCGGTGGTTTGCCCGATGCATGAGCGTGTTGGCTCAGTCCCAACTCTTGTAGAGCTTCGCGTACGCCCAGTATCCTCTGGTCTCCGCCGAGAATAACTCGAGCATGGTCGGCGCAGAGAGCGCCTCGGCCTTATCCCCTATGCTCTGGATCAGCGGGCCGTTCTGCGTCTTCCATTGCTCCTCCCACAACCGCGCCTGGTCGGAGTTAAGCCCCTCGGGCATGGGTGCATCGCGGAGCAGGTCCGCGAAGTCGTGGAGCAGCGTCACGTAAGTGACGTGAGCGAGCACGCTCCAGGGCGTCACCTTGCTCTCGAGCACTCTGAGGAGATCATTGAGCAGGTCTTGTAACATCGCGACGCTGCGCATCAACTCCTGTTGTTGAGCAGTGACCGAGCCCCGGAGATCGAGGCGCGCGAACTCATCGAGGTTGGCGTCTTGCAAGTAGAAGAGATAACGCGCGAGCATGGCAGGATCTCTTGCCAGCTTTCGCTCGAGGACCTGCACGTGTGACGGGTACGCGAGCACCTCGTCGACTTGCCTCAGAAACGTGAGCCCGGCGAGGCACGCGCCCACATGCTCGGAGAGGTTCTCGTCCTGACAGTAGAGGATCAGCTCCTGACTCTGTGCGGAGAGCTCCTCGGTCGAGTACTCGATCCCGGAGAGCGCCAATAATTCGCAGGCATCCGGCTGCTCCTCGACGCATCGCTTTGTCAAGGAGCCCAGCGCTCGCGCGCGCGAACTCCCCGATTTTTCCTCGATCAGGAGCGCGTCGAGGTAAACGCACCCGAGCTCGTCTTTGTACGTCTTGCACGAAGCTGACAGCGCCGTGCGCGCCTGCTGCCCATCCTTCTTTAACCAGAGCCCGTAGTACGACATCACGCCCACGATACGTAGGGTGTGGCCGTCGAGTTCTGATGCTGCGATGCGTTCCTCGATGCCTGAGAGTTCTTGCTGGAAGCGCTGGCAAACGTCGCTCGAATTTTCTCGCAGCGGCGAGCAGCGCGCGCTCGGGTCGAACGCCACGAGGATATTCGGGGTGTTCGGGTTGGTGATGAGCTGCCTTTCGTCCAGCGCTTTTCGATTCCTGCCACAGGAGAAAAGAAAGAGGACCACCAGGAGAAGCCACCCTGTCTGTCGAAATGTCTGCTTCATAGTTTGGGTGCTCGGGCTCCAGGCTTACTGCAAAAACGGGCGCTCGGCTCGCGGAGCATGATTCTGGAGCATGAGCCTGTTTGACGCAAATGTCTTGCATCAAAAGGGGTTAGCTCTTGAGCGCTGCGTGGTTCACGCATCATCAGCGATGTCATCTGTTCGGGGTGTCGTGTCTCCTGGCGTAGTGTTCGTGGCGCTAAATCCTCGATGAGGTGTGCCGATGATCCAGCAGGAAGCGAGCATGGAGAGACAGCGAGAGTAGACGCGATGGAAATGCAAATCACCACATCCCCCGAGACAACCTCGATCCAGGAGCTGCTGGGCGCGCTGGAGCTGTTGGAGGGGAGGTTCGATGAACTCACGCAGCTATTGCGTCGAGAGTCTTCGTTGATCCGAGGGTTCGAGATCGACGCGCTGGTGGCGCTCTTGCCACAAAAAGAGGCGTGCCTCGATAGCTTGCTCGATAGCGGCTCAGCGTACCGAGGTCTGCTCGTGCGTCACTGGGTCGATTCAGGGCAGCACCTCGACGCGCTCCCGCAGCGCCTGCCCATGGCGCTCGAAGAGTTGGCCATGCGCCTCGATGGAGAGGATGCCCAGTTGCTCATGCGCCTCTCACACCGCTTGCTCGCCATGGAGCTCGAGGTCCTCGAGCTGCAAGAGAAAAACAACGCGCTCTCGAAGCGCTCGGTCGGTTGGATCGACGCGTGCCTCGAGCGCTTGCAGCGACGCCCTGAATCGACCGGATACGATCGCAATGGGCGAATGCGTTCGCGCGGTGGATCGCTGATCCAACGCCGCGCCTGAGGAGTGAGAAGATGACCAGCTTGACGACCTTGTTGCGTATGGGAAGCGGCGCCGCCGGAGCCCAACAACGCAAGATCTCGACCATTCATAATAACGTCGCCAATGCCTCGACCGAAGGATATCGCCGCCAGCGAACCTCGCTCGAGACGCTGGGCGGCGCAGTCGGTGGTCAAATGCTCGGCGTGACGACCGGCGAGAGGCGATCGATCGATGCTCCTCTCGCCGATCGATTCGTACCGGAGTATCGCGGCGAGAGCGGTCATCATCGCGCCAAGCTCGAGCTCGCGACCTTCGCCGAAGGACTCGTCAACGGCGAGGGCGGTGATTTGAGCGGGCGACTCGGCGGGTTCTTCGCGTCTGTTCGCGAGCTCGAGTCAAACCCGGGTGATGCGACGACACGTCGGGAGTTTGTCGAGCGCGCGAAAACGCTGGCGCAGGGCGTCCAGCAACGTCATGGCGCGCTCACCAGAGCGAGGGAGCTCGGCCAACAAAAGGCCGGTGATACGGTCAATTCGATCAACGCCAAGCTCTCGCAAATCGCGGCCTACGATCAGGAGATCATGAGCGGCCAGGGAGGGCCAGAGGCCGTGGATGCGCGCGATAAACTCGTTTCGCAAGTTTCGGACTCGATCGGCGCGCGCGTGGTACCAGGCAAGAATGGCGCGGTGAATCTGATCACACAGGATGGCGCCGCGCTCGTCGAGGGAGGTCGCGCCAGACCGCTGTCACTGGAGGTCTCCGCGGCAGGGGATATGGCCTTGAAGAGCTCGAACGGCCGCACGTTGGGTAAGATCGGCGGTGAGCTCGGCGGTATCTTCGAGGCAGATCGGGATGTGATCGGAGCGCAACTGAATGACCTCGAGACGTTCGCGCGTGACTTCGCCAACGAAGCAAACGCGGTGCACTCTCAGGGGTTTGGGCTCGATGGCAACAGCGGCCGCCCGCTCTTCACGTTCAACGCCGGTGCCGCGAGCAGCTCGCTCGCTGTTGCTCAGGAGATCGTGGACGACCCCGGGCTCGTGGCCGCGTCCTCGACCGCTGGCAATGTGCCAGGGGGCAACATCAACATTCAGGCGCTCGCTGCCCTCCAGGAAGCCTCCATCATCGGCGGCGGAGGTGGCGTTGCTGGCAAGACGCCACAGGATGCGCTCCTCCAGAGCGCGACATCATTGGGGCAGGTCATCGAGACAACCTCCCTCGAGCTCGAGGCATCCGAGGGGGCGCTCGCGCACCTCGAGGATGTTCAGGCGTCGATCAGCGGCGTCTCGCTGGAAGAAGAGCTCGTGGCCATGACCGAAGCCAAGCATGCCTTCGAGGCATCCGCCAAGCTGATCTCGGTCGCCGACGAGATGCTCAGTACGGTCCTCTCGCTCCGCTAATAGCGCGGCGAGAGGTTGCTTGAAGAAATCACTCCTCGCCGCTGTCGAAGCACAGCGATGGCGGCAGGTGAGGTGAGGCGATGAATGTCATCGCTTCGATACAAGGAGAGGCACGATGCGTGTAAGCGATCGACTTCGAATGAGAACCTCTTCACGCCAGCTCTCGAAGCTGGCCGTGGATCAACAGCGCGCCACTGAAGAGGCGATTACAGGCAAGCGCGTCAGGCTCGCCTCGGATGACCCGACCTCGTTTGGCGCAGCCTCGAGGCTGCGCCAGGAGTCCGAGCGCCAGGGGAGCTTTATGAACAATGGCGAGAAGGCCGAGGACTACTTCCGGCACGCGGATTCGGTGCTCGATAACGCCGTCGATATCCTCTCCAGGGCGCGTGAGATATCGGTCCAGTTTGCCAACGAGACCTTGCCGCCCGAGTCGATGGTCGTGGCGGCCGAGGAGGTCCGAGCGCTCAAGGACGCGCTGATCGATGTGGCCAACACGCGTTTTGATGGCAAGTACGTCTTCGCTGGCGTCGCCGAGGATACTCGACCCTTCGATGATCTCGGCGCCTATCAGGGATCTGCCACGGCGCGCGAGGTCAGCGTGGGCGACACCTCCAAGGTCAAGTACTTCGCGGGAGACGAGATCTTTAGCAACGCGGGTGGCGCGATGGCGACCTTGACCGCGCTCGAGGATCACCTCGTCTCGAAACGTCCTGACCAGGTTCGCGCATCCCTGTCACAGCTCGACACGTCGTTGGGCGATGTTATTCGAGCGCGTCAACACGCGGGCCACGAGCTCGAAGCGATCGAGCATTCGCGTTCCTTTGGCGAGAACCTCGTCCTCCAGAGCGAGGTCGCCGCCAGCGGCGAGACAGACGCAGACTTCGCTGACACGATCTCCAGGCTCACGCAGGCGCGCACGAGCTACGAGGCTACCGTCGAGATCGCCTCCAGGATCAAAGACATGTCCAACCAGATCTTGAGGTTGTGAGGATATAACCCACAGACTCGTGACCAAAAAGCGAGG